TTATTGTTGTTTTTATTCTGTAAAGCGTTTTGAGAAGCCACCTTTAAAGGCGATATATAAAAGCACTGAATCTGTTGATTCTGTTGACTATTGAGAATATGAAGCCCTGAGTGGCTGAGTATAGAGGAGTGCTGGCTGTGTGGAAAATTGTTGTGACGAGGCTCTGTATAGGGAAGGATGTTCTATCTAGGGATCTTACCCAATACAGGCCAGCCAGATGGAATGGGAAAAAACTTGAATGGGGTCGTTGTTTGGGTTCATGAATAAGTGCCAGCCCAGTCTACAGGTACCTCACTGTTACCTTAGTTGGTATACCCAGACTGTTAAAGTCTGCCACTTAGATGGGTGAGGAAGGGAAGGCAGCATTTGTGGTTCCCAGCTGTAACTGGGATTTCCATGTGTAAATCATCAAGCACTATGATGTCAGAATATGTGGTTGTTGCCATATGGTTTGCTTGGGCAATGTTGGTTCAGACATAAGTTGCAAAGCCATGTTTTGTATGTGGGTGATAGCATAGGTACATTTAATGGAGTATCAATCTGGTTCTTTTGATCCAATGTGGGTGATTCAGTGTTGTGAAGGAGTTACATTGAAGAGTTGGTAATGTGCAGTATTTGTATGTCCAACTTCAGATGGACGGTGATAAAATTTTTAGTTAGTATTAACTCTGGGTGGCACAGTGAAACAGTTGTTATCTTTGTTGCCTGGCAATGCTTGGGACCTGGGTTTAATTCCTAGGGTGCTATCTGAATGAAATTTGTATGTTATTCCAGTGTTTGTGTGGGTTTCTTCCCACAGTCCAAAGATACTGGTAGGTTAATTGGCTTCTGGGAAAGTTGGCTTTGGTCAGTGTGTCCGTGTTTGTGTCTGTGTGTGTGCTCTGTGATGGCCTGGCGTCCAGGATGTATTTTGCCTTGCCAGGATAGGCTTTGGCTCTCCTGTAATCCTGTATTGGATGACGTTGAATTCTTTCTCTGCACATGTTCAGCAAAACACCAGTTGCAACATTAAATGTATATGCTTTTGATAAGAGAAGAGACACTTTTTTGACACTTAAGCTCTTTGTCTTCCTTATCAATTAAGTCTATAAAAGGTCAGCTGTAACTTTCTTTTGTTAGAACCATCCTCCTAATTGCAGGGAGGGTGCTTCTGTTTGGCCGAATACACAATAAACTCCTCTTCTGCTCGACAAAAAGGTCTCCAGTTTTTACTCTACAAAGTAAAAAAATTGAAAATGGATGGATAATAACAAATATACATTTTATTTTTATTTAATCAGTTATCAACCAAGAATTATTATGTTGGTTACATTAAATATTTTAAAGCTGTATATTACAGTACTCTGAAGATAATTTCAGAATTAAATCTCTCTTAGTTATTGAGTTATTGTTTTTACAGTGCATTCCTTGTACAAAACAAATGGGTTGATGGCTGCCAGTTCTAAGTTATTGTGAGATTCAACAACTAGCCACCGATTAGATTCAGCTTTAACTGAGTACTAATGTGCCATCTGGTCTGTCAAATCTACTCTGTGGTTTGTCTGGTTGTAGAAAAGCACAGTCTTTTCTTTTTCTTCTCAGTAGTGTAAGAACCACTTACACTAATGTAAGTCTTTAATGTAAAGATTGCTGAGAATTCATACTTTTGTTCTTAGCCTGCACTTGCATATAGTCACTGTACCATAGTCACTCTTTCAAAATATTAGTGATACGTACACCTGAGGAGGCTCTTTTCATGAGTTATTGACCTGTCCCACTACGATTTTTTTCTGCAATTCTACTGATAGTTCTGGTGAAGTAATAATAATACCTCTAGTTGCGTTCCTGACTAAATTGTAAACATTACTTGTTGATGTTCTATCATGTTCTGAGCTATTTGATTATCTACTACTTTGTAACTGTAGATTCTAAAATCAACAGACAAGCAAACGCCAATCCACATGGTAACTGATAGAGTTTTAGGTAGACTGTATTAGCATTCACTCAAATCAGTTGACTTTGGCTTTGAGATGGAAATGGATATAATATAAACACAGAGGTCTAACACCTATACAACAAAAACAAGTATTCAAACTCTAATATAATGCCTACAAAGGCTCAAAAAGAAAAGATAAGCTGTTTTATAAAACAACCAAAATACCACCTGCAGTTAAATCTCTATATACCTGGATGCTCCCAAATGAATGGGAATCTATATCCCTTTTTTTTAAATGCACCAACATACCAAGAGAGGCCATTTTTAACCGAGGGATTCTTTACATTAGAACTTAATTAGCTAATGCAAAACAAGGTAAACCTTATAATTGCTTTGATTACTGAATCTAGATATCCTACATCTCAGCCAAAGATCCATTTGCTTTAAAGCTGGACATGTTTACACTAGTCAGGTGTTACTTATTGTATCCAAATTATTAGAGACACTTTAGTAGTCACCTACACCTGTAACAATACCTTGCCAAAGTATTTAGACCCTTTCTATAGAATCCCTTTTTGTGAAACTGCAAAATGATGCGTACACATTTTTATAGTTCATATTTTATTCTAATACTGAATCCTTACACTGAAGACTTCTAAAGGCAAGAGAAGTTACAATAAATATCAGCAAAACTATGGAGAAAAAAAATGTGTTTATTGCATACGTATTCAAACCTGTATTTGGTAGGAGCACCTTTGGTAGCAGTTACAGCTGCAAGTATTTTCGAGTAAGTTTTTACCAACTCATCAAATCAGCTTGGTGCAGTTTTTGTTCATTCCTTTTGACAGAACTTTCAAGTTGCTTGTACTGCAGTTTTCAAATCTGCAGGTTCTCATGTTCATGTTTTAAATCAGCACTTTTGACTGAGGCACTCAAGAGTTTCACTTTCTTATTTTTAAGCCACTCCAGAGTAGCTTTGTACTTGTGCTTTGAATCATTGTCTTGCTGTAAGGTGATTTTTTTAATCCCAATTTTAGGGCATAAGCAGGTTTACCTCCTCTAAGTTGCCATTATTTTGCTTAATCTGCGTTTTAATCAGGTTTTACATGCTTCTGCATTCCTGCTGATGGCAAGCTGAACAATAACATAATGTTGACATCACCATATGTGACAGTAGAGCTGGTTTTCCTTGATGGGATAGGACACAGGACACAGACACCTGTTGGTTTTGCATCATACTGTATGTATCATTTTGCATTTAAGACCATAAAGTTTCACCTTTGACTTGTCTGACAGCAAAATGTTTGTTTCATCAAAATGCCAATGATGCACTGAAGGCATTGTGCCACCTGGCCACTTGACAGCTTAAGCTGTAGCTGTAAAGGACAGGCAAAATGTTTCCAAGTAATCACGAGTGAATGAGTCAAGTTAATGCAGATGTTTACAAAGAAAGTGGACTATGGTAATACAGTTCTTAGAGCTATATAAATATATTTAAATCCTTAAATTGATATTGTTATTAATCTCTTTAGATAGAAAGATGATTTCATATTATATTCCCTATTAAGCAGATGATAAAATGTTCAAGTTTTTTACTAAGATAACGAACGCAAGTATTCATAGAAAAGGTTAGAATATATCTTTTTATTTAAGTATATGAACTTAATAAAATCAAAAGGAGCACGTAAAAAAGTTTCCAAAATAACCACAGTAAGTGACGGAGTGAAAGACTTTGATGCATAAAATGTTTATGAATGAAGTGGAATACTGTTGTGCATTTTTTATTTAAACTACCGCTACTCGCCTTGATGTTCAGAGACGTTATGCTCCTCTTATTTTATGCCCGTGACAAATTTAGAACCTTCCCTTTAGTTGTAAATATCCATATTAATATACAATATTAAAAAATTTAAACATCCACAGTAAAGATATTAAAAGCAGCAATTATTTCAACTAATGCACCACTAGTGCCACATTTTGGCCAGCCAATCACGTACTGCAGTAGTCTGTGCGTGGAAATCCGCAGTACAGAGTTTTATCGTGCATTTTGAATGGCTGCATCTGTATATATTCTTTTAATTCTTAACTTTTAAATTTTAACAATGATAAAAAGGTTTAAGAGTTCAGTAACATAGGATAAATGACCCCACCCTTAATAGTGGTCTTCCAACATGAACCTTACTTCTAGAGCAATTTGAATCTATGTCATATCTTAAATTGACTGTGACTAGGACAGTCAAAGGTGCAGCACATGAGTGGCTTTGGTCTGCCAAAGTTTGGAATACTTGCTGTGAGAGCTCCTCAAATTGATTCTAACTGTCTTGTAAACATCATTGGATTGACATATGTCTTTACAAATACCAGATAACTCACATTTGGTACAAAATGCACATTTCTAATGGGTTCCTGCACAGTTCTTATTGCTTTATGCTTGTCTAAGCATTACAATGGTTAAACTGACTTGATTCAAAACTGGGGATTTCAAATTGCTAGGTAGAAACATATTTTTTTTTTTCTTTATAATGCCATGTTATATACAAAATCTTGGGAGTAGCATTTTATCAGGAATAAAGATGTTGTTTATCCACACCAATAAGTCATGAATAACAAACAAGCCCGTAATGCTTCTGATTGTGAGCTACAGAGAATATTATGCCCATTAAGATCAGTCATCTTTTCATTATATAACTTACTAATGATTGTATTTATACAGTGTATTCAAAGATAAGATGTAAGGGAAGGAACAGAAAAAAATGCTGATGGTGAAGACTTACATATACATATACAAAATCTCCCTTTCCCATTTCCGTAATGAAGATATTAATCTGTTGTGTAGTGTGCAATTGCATTCTGTCCTCATCAGGGCTTTTTTGCATTGTACAGATGTTTGAAAGAAATCAATATTTCTAAAATCATATGTATATAGGTAGAAATTAAAAATGGATGTTTTTGTCATTACAATTTAGTAACCAGGAGTAACATACAACCACAGTTCTAAATGTATATCATAATATTTTAAAGAAGCCACTGTAAGCCAGACCTTACACTGTGAAATATCTCCTCTCTCTGTTTTTTTGCTCTCTAGAATTCCACAAGTCCTCCCTTGAAGCTGTCAAATGTGGAAAGAATCACAAATATTCAAATTCTTGTCCTGTTTGGTTGTCTGCTCGCCATATCCCTCATCTGCTCAATTGGACAAAGTATCTGGAAGGCAAAACATGACAACACCACCTGGTACATGGATTTAAACTGTAAGAGCAAACCATTAGCCACAATAAATATTCTTTGTTGTTATTTTTATTATTATTATTAAAACCAATTCATTGAGGAGGGATCAATTTATGTACTAATGATAACTATCTCAGTAAACATAAAGCAGTGAATTGATTTAATACTGCAAAGTTGTATAACTTTTCTATTTGTCCCAACTGTATGTTTTCCTATTTTATTTTTGTTGTCATTTTTTTTATCTTAGCAGGACCTGATTAAAGAGCTTCATCAAAAATAAAATAGTTAAAAGAGACTTTAGGTGAAGCAGATTTATATTTTCTCACACTTTTACAAACCTAACTATCTATTATTAATATATGTAGATTTTCTTTCTTAAATACTCTTTAGCATTTAGTATTCAGCAGTTGTGTACTGTATATGAAAAGCAGCCTGTAAGTAACAACTTGCCAGTAAATTGGACAAAAATGTGATGTTCATAGTTTGCATGTAGTATTTATTATTGTTTAAAAAGTTTACATTCAAATGAAAAGTAAAAAATAATAATAATTTGTTTGTTCTGGTATATATTTTACCATACCTTTAAAACATCACTAAATACGTGACAAGTACACAGTAAGGAGATGATAATTCCAAATCTGAACAATTGTTTTAATGCTTACATTATTTCCCTCTGAACCACATTATCTAATTTTAAATAGCAAATAGCTGGAGATGGTAATGTATACATTATAGTCTTTAATACATTTTTTAGATTTATTATGTACCATAAAGGGTGGAAATTGATTCTTTGAGACATTTACTTTTAGTAAAAGACGCAAAGAAACTAAAAAATATTGATAATTTTTTAAAATGCTGTAAATAAGACAGCTGCTACTGTCCCACTTAAATCTGTAGGAGGGATCATTGAATTTCTGCCACAAAGCCTTATACTAAATTATTTGGTCCACAAAATAACAGAATTTTGGACTGAATGTACTTTTTGAACACTAAAAGTAAATCTGACTTTGTATAGCACTGCCAAAATTAACCAAATGTAGAACTTTAGGTAGCTTAATTTTGTAAAAAAATACTTTTCTTCTTACTAAGAAAAAGTTGATTTTACAATAATATCATGAAATCCAAAGTGTTATTAGACAGCTTTCTGTCTTTCTGTTACACTTATCACCAGTTTGTAATTTCACATTTTTAAGTTATAAAATTGAAAAATATTGACAATTTAAATTAGAGAAAAGGTTTATTCCATAACCACCCTCATCCTGACACAGTATATCTCTGTACAGGCATATTGGGTAAGTGGCTAAGAATCTAAAAATCTGCTCACTTTTGATTTATGGAATCTTCTAATTTGTCTGTAGCTATTTTCCTTCTTGATATAAGAAGCCTCTCTCTCTATGCATTAAACCGTGGAGATTAATACATACATTTAATTATTACATTCGTTAATCTGCAATTCTATTACAACAAAGTAATTTCTGTCAGATGTACTAAAAGTTCACCCAATTAACAGAAATTATGTGCATTTAAAATGTATACCCAATGGGAAGTAAAATGTTACTATAAAAATATTTATTTCTGTTATATGTTGAATTTGGTTGCTGTTTATTCCATTGTGAAATTTGAAACAACTCAAATTTGAAATACATTAATTAATAATCGTTAAAAACATGGTTCCAACTGTTCATGAATCTGAATCTTTGAATCCTTTTCAGAGTTGCAAGCACATTCATAGTAAATGTAATTAATGTAACAAAAGATGCTATACTGCTATACTGCTATAATAGGTGATTTGGTAGAATCTTGGTTGTTCCATTCTTTGTTATACTTTATTTACAGATGGAGGTGCTTCTAACTTCGGATTAAATTTCCTGACTTTCATCATTCTCTTCAATAACCTCATTCCAATAAGTCTCTTGGTTACCCTGGAGGTCATTAAGTTTGTCCAAGCATACTTCATAAATTGGGTGAGTGAGAGGTTCTGTGTCGGTATACACTATTAGTATTCTGTTTTTTTGGTGATTAATTATTTCTATGAAAGCATAGAAATGTAACTCAAACAATTTTCTAAAGATTTTAATAGACTCATAAATGTTCAATTAGGTTAAATTTATGGAGTAGAATGTACTTAAAATTGAGAAAAAGTAAACCTTTACAGCAAGAATAATTACAATTTGTTGAACATGGCACTAAATATGTTCAAGTTTATCTTAACATTATAGGAAAAGATTTCCCTGCTCATATACTGACTCCCCCTTACAGTTTAGATTTGTGCATATACTTGTGAATCTATTAAATTTGCAAATCTACCATCCATTAGGAGGGACAGGGTAAATCTTGTCTTGCTGTGAAGTTGAAGTCTTATAACCTAATTTTTGGGTGAATATTTTATCATTGTAGATGATTGATATACAGATGCAGCCATTCAAAATGTTCCATAAAACCCCGTAATATGCGAAATTATCTGCAGTTTAGCGCGTTATATCGCAGTAGTGATTGGCTGGTCAAAATGACCGACAGACGGCACTCGTGGAACATCGATTGTTAGAGAAAGGATTGCTTCACTTTAGTTTTTACATGCTCCTTCTGACTATATTAAGTTTAAATACTTCATAAAAAGTTATGATGTTTTAACCTTTTCTATGAATACTTGCACTTGTTATTGCAGTAAAAAATGCATACTTTTTAGAATTTGATTAATAGGAAATATAATGTAATCACGTATATAAAGAAATTAATAAAGATATAATTATATTCATATAGCACTAATTATTACAGTAGTACACTTTCTTTTAAACATCTGCATCACTTTGACTCATTCACCCACGATTGTCTGCCCTTTTCAGCTATAACTTAAGGTGTCAAGTGGCACTTTGGTGTAATGGCTTTGCCGTGTGACTCGCATGATGGAGGTTGGGGGTTCGGACCCAGGTCTCACTTTTAACAAATAAACATTTCTTTGAAAAACTAAAATAGTAAATATTATTGACACTATATTTAATTTGTTGGTATTTCTAAATATCACAACACATTAAAAGGTAAGTGATTTATTAATAACAACTAATAATTTCAAACTGCTTGTATTTTAAAATTGTTTTTTGTTCAGGGGGTGATTTGTCACTGTTTTCAATAACTTCAATTTATTAAACATCTATTTTTGAGACAGGTTGTTCCAGACCTTTATTTCTGAAACTTCTTCTGTATTCCATGTTTCATGTAGTTATGAATACTTGCGCTTGTTATCGCAGTAAAAAACCTCATACTTTTTAGAATCCGCTAAATAGGGAATATAATATGGAATTGCTTTTCTTAAGAAATGAATAACAGTATTAATTGAAGGACCTAAATATATCTATTTATATAGCGGGTAGTATTACGGTAATCCACTTTCTTTTATTTTTAATTTGACTCATTCACTCATGATTGCTTTTTAAACCTTTTTAAGCTGTTTGTCTCAGCTATGTTTCCGAGCAGCCCGTTGGTACAGCAGCTTTGTCAATAAGGGTTCTGTCTAGGTGATCTGAGTTGACTACCTGCTTAGGGCCCAAGTTTTTCTTCTAACAAATAATTAAAAAAAAATAAAACAGTAAAAATTATGTACACTATATTAACATGTTTTATATATATATTATAACATATTCAGTAGGCATTATGCTATATTTTTTATGCATCAGTTGAAGCCTTCCAAAGTCTCTCAAAAACATAAAAATGTAACATAACATTCTGTGGCACGATGGGCAACTGATTATTTTAATTTGAAAGAAAATCAAAAATAAGAAACAATAACATGTTTGCCTAAAACAGACATTGCATGATTTTAAAACCCATAAAAAATGGGTTTAGTTAAACACATGAAATCCACGAAAAACTGGTGATTTTCCTTGTGATCAGCTTAGAATCTGTGTAAACTGTAAGGTTTTTTTTTACTTTTTAATTGAACATTTTAAACACTTTTTTTTGTAAACATGCATTTCGTACAGATACAGTACAGTCACATTCTACTGCTTTCCTGTGGTGTGAAGCAAATTAGCAGGTGGCTGAGAAAATAGCGCACCACCCACTGAGCTCAGTCAGAGAAGAGGCGGCGCTGTAAGGAGACTGTTCTGTAGTTTGCAGTTTTTATGGCACTGAGTGCCTTTTAAAACTTAATAATGGAATGAAATCTTTGAATTATCATTAGACATAGCTTTCTCACCAGTTAGTTTTATATTCAAAACCATTGTTAAACAAAGCAGGGTCTTATTATACATTTTAATTGTTTTTAATTTAAAAGAAATAAATTTTAGAAAAGTTTCATCTACACAAATATCACTGACTATTTTCAATTGTATTTCTGGATGTTATGTCACAGTTCAGTATTTTCTATACATTTAAATAAATTCAGGTGTCAGGTGCATGAACTGTTAGTAATCAATAATTAGTATTAAAATTTGCACTGTGATAAATTGTGGCACTTCCACATCTTGTAAAAACATTAATTTGCAAGACTGTGTTCCAAATTACGTTAAATCTGACTATCAAAAAATAAGTAAAGAACAAAGTTGTAAAATAAAAAATGAAGGTAATATATAATTTAAAATTAAACCAGGGTTCACTTTTTTCTGTCTCTCCCTACTCTCTCTCAGCCTCTGCGATTGGACACAGAATGGTTAAAAAATGGGAACAGGTCAGGCAGGAAAGGGGGAGAGGGGAGGCGTCTTCCCACCTCTAAGCCTAAAATGCCAAAGAGAAATGGCTTGAGCGACATACAGAGACCAAAACATTTGGTGCTGTCTCTGCATTAAAGGTACACTCCTTGTGGAAGAATTTTCACCTCAAACAATTGCCCACCAGCTAACACACAGAAGCAAACTGAATACAAAATGTACTTGCAAGATTAGCACTTAGAAACATTATAAAACATACTTGCTTTATACTGTTATACTGTACAGTGTATTTAAACACTCTATGGTCACTACACAGCCTACTAAACCTCTTTCCCACAAATTGCACGGGGGCAAGGTCACGTACAGATGCAGCCATTCAAAATGCACGGTACAAACCCATACTGCACACAACTACCCACAAACCACCGCGGCGTAACGCAGTACGTGATTGGCTGGCCAAAATGACCGACAGGGGCACTCATGGTTCAATGGTCTTTACTGTGCACATTTTAATCAACTTACTATTTAATATTTATATGGAATTTTAGAACTTAAGGGAAATTTTAGTAGCTGAGCATAAAAAGAAGAGGAGCATAATGCATCTGAAAGTCATAAACGATATTAATTTAGGAACATAAACATATTATGTAAACTGTATATTGCTGTTATTGGTAATTTAAAGAAAAAAATACACACCAATATTCCATTTCTCTCTAAATATTTTAAGCATCAAAGTCTTACATGTGGTTAGACTTTTCCTGTCCATGGGGGAAAGGGTGGACTGTCTTTCATTAGAAGGTTAGCCTATTCTACTCTGAGAATGTAGAGGGGGTGGAAAGTGCCCGCGGTCATTTAATTAGTATTAAAATTCCCTTGCAAAGATGGGGACATAAGAATATTCGTGTGTAGTAAAAAAATGGCATAAAATGACAAAGTGAAGGCTGTGAAAACATTCACAATGTACTTTATACACAAAGCAAGT